TTCTGTGTTTTTTTGTCGCCTATTTAGTGTAGAGGTACCATTTGGAGCACTTGCTACTTCTGGATTTAATAACTGGTCAAATATTTACATAAGATTACCATTACATGAAAACTCGAAAAATCATTTGATAGCAATGTTAAAATGTAGAGATCTTCAAAAAAGACTGTCTGCTGAACAAACAATCGATAAAATTGATGCAGCAAAAGTTGCTCAATCAAAAAAAAACTCGTTGTTAAAAAATTTTTGAAAGAGTATTTTCTGTGGTCCAGTTTTTAGCTGAGCGCAATAATGATTTCGAGGATCTGTTGAAAAACTAGGTGATGCAAGAAATGGAAATTTTATAGGTATTATAGAGTTACTTGGAAAATTTGATCCAATAAAAAAAAAAAAAAAAAAAAAGAAAGTATTTTGCTGTTATTCTTGATTGTACTCCGGACATTAGTCATAAAGAACAAATGTCTCTTAACCTTAGATATGTTTCAGATGTTATACTACCAGGTTCAAGTGCTAATGTATATGAACACTTTATTAATTATTGAATATATAATAATTGAATAAGCAATTATTGAATAATGACAATAATTATACAATTATTGAATATATAATAATTGAATAATTGAATAAGCATTGAATATATACAAAATTAACATACATCTTGTTTTACAGTTTATGTACAAAATAAAAAATGGACTACCTCCGCCGATATTTCAACCCTATTTTAGTGAAATAAGTCATAAATACCCTTCTAGATTCTCATATAACAACTTTGTCATCCCAAAATTTACATTAAAGTTAAATTCATGCTCAATCCAACACCGCGGACCTTATTTGTGGAAAAATTTTCCCCAGATTGTTACTATCAATACACTTGAACAGTTCAAATCTGAATCAAAGCGTTTTTTATTATCTACGGACTTAAATTTTCTTTTTCTTTTTTAGTAAAAAAACAAACTAGCACAATTTATTTCTTTTATTTGTTTTAACTTTTACTTGTTTTAAATTTATTTTACTAAACGAGTTTATATATAAACAGTTATATCAATTGTAAAACGTAGTTTTTCACATTTTTACATATTTTATCACAAACAATTTATCACGATTTTATATAATTTGTTGTAAAAAACGACCTGTAATGAAGTCACTATGGGGCTCGGTTATAAGACAAACTGATGTCTTCTTCTTGCTTCAGCCATTTGTTTTATTATTTATGTTATTTTATAAATTGTAACTTTCTACGGCAAAAAATTAAATAAATAAAAAATAAATAAAATAAATTAAATTTATACATGTAGGGAGCAGTATAGGAGAAAACCTATTTTCTGTGTTGAAACAAGAAATTCAATTTTTAGGACTGAACATTAATAACATTCGAGGGCAAGGCTATGACAACGGTTCTAACATGAAGGGAAAGGTTTCAGGGGTTCAGGCTAGATCGCTAAAAGAAAATTCTAGAGCATTTTTTACACTTTGTACATATCATAATTACAAGCTTCTTTTAGGAGATATAGTCAAAATTTGCCCATAAGCTATAACATTTTTTGGTATTCTTCAGCGCCTGTATGTTTTATTTTCAGCATCTACAAAAAGATGGCTAGTGCTTCTTAAATATGTGAAAGAGCTTACTGTGAAACCAATTTGAGATACCAGATGGGAATGTCGGATTCAAAGTGGTAAAGCAGTAAGATTCCAAATAGGTGAATTTTAAGATGCACTTTTTGAAATATCAGAAACCTCCGAAAAACCACAAATCAAAAGTGAAGCTGAATCATTTGGAAACTTAATGAAAGTTTTTAGTGGTTTTTTGGAATGACTTACTCTTCCAAGTAAACTTTGTAAGTAAAGAACTTCAATGTAAATCAGTAGACCTATCAAGAGCTCTTAGCTCATTTGAGAAATTTTGAAGTTGGTTGATCAATTACAGAAACACTTGATTTAAGCAAATTTTATTCAAGGCAAAAGTACTCGCAGATGACTTAGAAATATATCCAGAATTTCAAAATAAGCGGCTCCGGAAACGAAAAAAGCATTTCAATTACGAAGGCAATGATGAGCCTATTATAGACCCTTTAAAAACATTTAAGATATCTATTTTCATATTAGAAGATAGAAGATAGTTTTGAAAAATTAAAAAATCATGATAATTTATTTGGGTTTTTGGGAAGATTTCTGGGAAGACTCAGGATTGATTAAACAGTTTAGCGATCATGTCGATTGAAGATCAAGAAGCAAAATACTTGGTTTTGCAAACTACTTTACAAGATTTTTTTGAAAAAATAGTTAGAAACATTTAAAACATTACTACTGTTCATTTATATTTAACAAAATTCAGTTGAATTTATTCTTTAACTTATATACGATTTTCGAAACAAAAATATAGCATGTTTTTATTTAATAGAATATAGTGAAATTATTGATTATATAATAAACACGATTAGTATATATAGTACATTAGTATTCTTTAACCCCTCCCCTTTTTTTTAGATTTTCACTTGAGGGCCTCGCTATCTAAACTCGCTTGGGGCCTCGCGCTTGCTTGAGCCGGCCCTGTTAACCATTAAAGTTTTTTACCTAATTTTAGTACATTTTCATTCTATTTTTTTTCTTCTATTATTTCGTGTGGTCTAAACACCAGTTCAGTAACCGTAGTACAAACACTGCTAGAAAATATCGTGGCTTGCATGTAAACATAAAAAAGTATTAATACGCAGTGATACTTATATGAAATTTTGATGCTCTTTAGATTTTTTAAAAGACATTTTGAAGAGTTTAATTTATTTAATTAAATAAAATCTTCTACTATGGATGTAACTCTTTATTTTTAAATTGATTTTAATAAGAAAATAAACTAATAAGAGAAATTTTTTTCGAGGTTTGATATCTCTTAAGAAGAGCTTACAAACGAGCATTACAAATATATATATATATATATATATATATATATATATATATATATATATATATATATATATATATATATATATATATATATATATATATATATATATATACATATATATATATATATATATATATACAAATATATATATATATATATATATATATATATATATATATATATATCTATATATATAATATATATATATATATAAATAAATATATATATATATATACATATATATATATATATATACATATATATATATATATAATATATATATATATATGTATATATGTATATACACACACACACATATATATATAAATTCATATATGTATATGTATATATATAATATATATACATATATATATATAATATATATATATATATATATGTACATATTTAATATATATATATATATATATAAACATATATATATAATATATATATGCATATATATATATATATATATATATATATATATATATATATATACATATATATATATATATATATATATATATATATATATATATATATATATATATATATATATATATATATATATATATATATATATAGTATTGTGCAAATTAATTGCATCAAGCTAAAAACAACTGTAGAACTTAGTTTATTACAGTTTTGGTAATAACAGTTCATATCTAATACTTAATATGTCCTCCTTGTGATGCAATTACACTTTGCACATGCTGTGGCATAGAATACACAAGAGTTTGACACAAGTTCTTCAATTCTTCATTGTGAAACCAGATTTCCATGAAAAGCCTCTATCAGCTTCGGTTTACTGGTACAGTCGCAAGTTCTATGTCTCTTCTTAACTGTACCCCATAAATTCTCAATGAGATTAATATCAGGTGAGTTGCCTGGCCATTTTAGAGTAATAATTCTGCTGTCTTCAAGGAATTTGGTGACTTTCTTTGATGTATGACACGTTGCTAGGTCCTGCTGAAACATCCTTTCACCGTCAGGGAACTGCTTTGTCATCTCTGGTATCAGTTTTCTCATCAGAACATTGACATAGCTATCGGAATTCATCATGCCAGTCACAGGCTAAAGTGCTCCAGGCCCAGCTGCTGTGAAACACTCTCAAAACATTTTCTTATTCAGATGTTTGACATGCTGCTCAATGTGACCTTCACGTATTCGTTCTCCGATTGATCTGTGAACAAACTGTGACCACTGTCCTTGGAACTCAAAATGACACTCGTCAGAGAATATCACCTGCAAATAAAGCAAATATGTAAATTAAGTGATTACAAAGCTTGATATTGGGTTAGAAATGTTTTTACCATAGTAAACTGTAGGATTACCAATATAATACTTAAAAGTGCCTGCAGAAGGCACAGACGAAAAAAAAGACTTACTACACAGATTATTTGAAACAATTCACATCATACCTTTGTCCAGTCATCTTTGGTCCATTGCTTGTATTCCTTCGCCCATTCCAATCTTCTTCTCTTCATAGCTGTTGTCAAAAGTTGCTTCTTGGTGGGCTTTCTAGCTGGCCGCCCATCATAAAGCAGTCTCCACCTAACAGTGCTTGAACAGACACTGACACAATGACTTTCAAAATCATGCCTGAGCTGGGCATTTGTCTTCTTGGGGTTCTTCTTACTTTGCTGTAGTAGAAAACAATCATCCCTGGCTGTAGTCTTTCTCTTTCGACCACACCTGCCTAGTCGCTTTGGAGAAAAACTACCAGTATCTCTGAACAGCTTGAACACTCGGCTGACGGTAGACTGGTTGACATGGCATAATTCTGCAATCTCTCTTTGACTTGTTTAATTGTTTAATTATGCTAAAGTAAAATAAGAACTAAATAAGAGCTCATATGTAGGTTTTTTGTTATTTTTTTAGCTTGATGCAATTAATTTACACAATACTGTATATATATATATATATATATATATATATATATATATATATATATATATATATATATATATATATATATATATACACTTCACACTTACTAAAGCGTATTTTTATAAGCATTTGCTCACTTTTTTTGCTAATCTTAATCCATACGGCTTTTTTAGAAAAAGAAAAAAAAACAAAGAATGATGAATGAAACGATTGCTGCTCCATCCCAAACCCTCAGTTGATATAGCAGCACTCCACTGCAAGTCAGGCTATTTGTCAGTTGATGTATGTATTGAAGCCCCCAACATCAGGCCATTTCAGTATGACGTCAGATTGCTTACCTTAGTACGCAATACTATTTGTATATATATATGTATATATACATATATATATATATATATATATATATATATATATATATATATATATATATATATATATATATATATATATATATATATATATATATATATATATATATATAATTTGTCCAAAACATTTTTAATTAGACATTTAAAATGGAAGAGATTTTAAGTCAAATCAACTTTGGAGAAGGAATGGCTTTGCCTGTGGCAAATGAAGAAAATAAAGCTTTTGAAGCCCAGGTATTAATATTTTAATAAAATCTTTTGTAAAATTTTAATTTTTAGCTTTCTGTACATATATTTAAATTTTTAGATAGAGAAGAAACAAAAACAAATTGAACAAGTTCGTGAAGAAGTTGATAGATCTAATGAAAGAATTCATTCAATGAAAAATCATTTAAAAAATGTTAAACAAGAACGCTTGCAGATACAGGTATTGTAGATTTAGTTTTCTTAAAATCTATATAATTTTCTTTTATCTCATGAAGGTTGTAATTTTATTTTTATTTTTTGAACTTATATATTTAAAAGTTAAACCATTTGAAGTTGTGCTGAAATGTTTTTTTAGTTTTCCAAACCACTGTTGTCCTTTCTGTTTTTTGTTTTTTTAATTTTTAAAATCATTTTTTTAAAAGGTATTCTTAATTTTGAAATAACTTTAAATTTTAAAATATCTTGGGAGATACTATTGCTGAAAATTATCTGCCTAGTTTATTAATTATTTGGATAATTATGCACAAACTCACTTTGTTATTTTACTTACACTAAAAATCCTTACCATAAACTGTATGAAAACATCCATTTAAGCTAAAATGGGTGTTCTCACTTAAAATCCCTGGGGAAAATGTTGATTGTATATTATTACTTTATCTTAGATCTCCTGAAAAAATTAGTTTCATACATTGTCTCTAAAATTTTTAATCAAAGTTTAATTTAATATTTAATGAAACCATTTAAAAATAACATCTTTTCAAAATTTTGAAAAAAATAAAATTTTGTAATTAAGGAAATATATTTATAAAACAGTTTTATTTAATAAAACTCTCTCCCATAATTAAATAAGAAAAGTTCTTAAAAATGTGAAAAATTTAATCACTTTAAAAATGTATGCAAAGCTAGGGGTTGTTCTAAGAAAATAATTTGGGTTGGGCTGCAGTACACCTCCCCCCCCCTATACTGATGCGTGAAAAAAATACTTGCCAATAAAAAAAAGTAATAAAAAAAGCTCCCTTAACTTCTGAATTACAATGGACAAAAACATAAAAAAAATAATAACAGTTAATACTCATATAGGATTGTTAAAATGTACATGCTTGCCATTTGGAAAGTGCAATATTTTAAAGAGCAATAGAATCTGTTGTTGGTGATTCCTAATATGATTCTATTTCAAGATGATATATGTGTCAGGGGTAAAAATGCTAAAGAGCTAAAATATAATTTGAGTAAAATTTTGAGCAATTTGGAAGAATCAGGGATGAATATAAATAAAAGAAAATTGGTAAATGAGACAAAAGTTATTCATTTTTGAAAACATGCTAAAAATTTTTTAACTTTAAATAATTTAAGGAAGAAAGAAGTTACATATGAAGAACATCTTTCATCAAGAACAAAGAATCAACATCAATATGCATTCAAATTGTTAAAGAATCTTTGCAAAGACCATGTGGTAAAAGTTTACAACATCAATCAAGATTTAGAATTTTTTGTTGGGTAGCAAATTTAAGTTGATATTACAACCATTAGATTTCATATTTGATTGTAAAAAAAAAACTGCCAAAAGTGACATTTGCTAGAATTATGGGATGGGCTCTGCAAATGATGGTAATTGGCTATAATATCAGCTATAAAAAGAGAGAAACCATTTCTCATGCCGATGCATTATCAAGGATGTCTGTGGCAGAAAAGCCTTATAAATCTAATAGGGATAAATTGACTATTAAAAAAGGAATTGTATGTAATGATGATCTTATTGTACCTCCTAAAATAACGAGGAGGAAGGTCATCAAATTAATTCATGATGACATAGATTGTAAGACAATGCAAACTTAATATAGATTAAAGTTAATAGCATGGTGGGCTGATTACTGTCAAAAATGTAAAGAATATGTAAAAACTGTGAAAAATATGTGGAGATAAAAATGAAAAAAGAGAAGACATTAAATACATTGCTGAGTGAAAATTAAACCTTGGTGCATTTGCATATGGACCATCTCTTTGTACTTGATGTTGGACTTTTTTGATTCTAGTAGACTCTTTTTCTGGATGACCTAAAGTTATTAAAGTAAGTAACTACAAAGCTGCTGCTGTGAAGACAGGATGGTGAATTGTCTTTTTAAGAAACAGAGGTCCAGAAGTTTTGGTATCAGATAATGTTGCAGAATTTCATGGTACTACTTTTTTCCAGTGGCTGAAGAAAATAGGTTGCTTACCTTATAGTCAGATACAGAATTTTTTATTTATTTTTTACATTAAAATGTTTTGATGATGATCTTTCTTTAAGTTATTGTTAGAAATTTTTTGATTCTGCTGTTGTTTCATTAGAAATGTTTGTTTCTGCTGTTAAAGTTATTGTTAGAAATTGTTTGTTTTTGCTGTTAAAGAAGCTCTGTCTATAGTGTTGTCAACCTTTTGCTTTGGAACATTTTTTATTTGACTGGTAAAATCCCAAATAATTCTATCGAGGTATTTAATTTTATTCTTCTGCTAACTAAAATTTGCATCAGTTTCTACTTTTTTGTAACATTTCCTGCAGAACTTCCAACCTGATGTCACATATACATTTTTTTTTTTCTGAAACCTTGATTTTTTTTCTTCCTGAAGACTTAGCAGTCTAGAGAAATCTTTCATTGCATAAAAAAGAAGTTTAAATAAGTTTTAATTAACTGAAAGTTTAATCATAAAACAAGATATTACCAAAAGAGTTGTGTTCATATCTTAAGTGAAGAGTTGTGTTCATATCTTAAGTGAAGAGTTGTGTTCATATCTTAACTAAACTTTCCAAAAAAAATTCTTTATCGATATATTACCAAAAAACTATTTTATTTTTAATGCCATATATTTTTTTGCAAATGAAAGTTCCGTCTAGTTGATTTTTTCTTTTAAAAGAAATCTAGTTTGATTAAAGCATTTAGCTTTTGATATCAAATGTAATAAATTAAAAACAAAGTATTCTTAAATTTTTACAATGGTGTAAAACTTTAAGAATACTTTGTTAGCTTTAACAGAGAGAAGTAAATACAACTGCGGGTGCCCAAAATAATTTTTTTTTTAATAAAAGTAATTTTAATAAAAGTAATTATTTAAGAAAAGCCAAATCAAAAGATAGTTATATTTTTTATTTAGTCAAAAGTGACACCTGAGAACTGAAATGCTTCATAAACTGAAATGCAGCGAAAAACTTTTATTATAATTCCAATTTAAAAAAGCGAAAACCCAAGCTGCATAAATTGTTTAAAAATCCCCTACAATGAACACACCATTCATTAAACAAACCAGAAATTTCTATAGAAAGAATACTAAGCAGAATCGTAAGATTAATTTATTAATTTTAATACTAGATATATAAGTATAGCAGAATCATAAAATTAATATTAGGTTTAGTAATCAGGGCTCAATTTAACGATTGGACATCGTAAGATTAATATTAGGTTTAGTAATGAAAATAAGATAGTAAAGTTACAATAAAACGCAGTGTTTATTCCAAAAATAATCTAATGTGATATGCATTTAACAATTTGAAACAAAATTTACTAAGTTTAAAATACAAACAAAATGCAATTTGATAGCTTAAAATTTTTTTATTATGTTTCTAAATTGTAGACACTACATAATCAGTTATGAGTCTCTATTTCTTCTCTGGTATCGGTGCAATACAATACAGTATCGATATCAAAATCACACGATATGGGTATTAAAAGTATCCTTAATGTTGGTATTGTTTGATATTGCTATAATACCTTACAGTATCAATATTAAGATCACTCAATACTGGTGTCGAAAGTATTGCTTATGTTGGTATCGTTTGGTCTCAATGCAATACTCTACAGTATCAGTATCAAAATCACGCGATACTGATATCGAAAGTATCGGTTATGTTGGAATTGTTTGGTCTTGGTGTGATATCTTATAGTATCGATATCGAGATCACGCAATACTAGTATCAAAAGTTATCACTTATATTGGTATTGTTTTGTACTGATAGTATCATTTGGTATTGCAACTCAGGTCATCATGAGAACTTGCATTTTATTTTTATAAATGATTGGTAACTTGAAATAGTAAATTCGTATAATAAATGAGACGTATAAAACTGACTCGTATAATAAATGAGATGTATGTAACTGATTTATTATAAAAGAAATTCTCAAAGATGGTTGTACAACATCATGTTTATCATTTAATTTCTCATTTGGTATATTTGTTTTAATTTAAATAATTGTGTGGTATCACTTCTGTATTTTAATTTCTCATCTGTTATTATTATTACAATTTTTTTTTTCATGATTAAAAGGAACGAAAAGGTTATGTTTAACATTTATTTTTATATTAAATTATTACAAATAATTAAATTATGTTAGACAGTGTGTAAGGGGCAGACAAAAAGGAAAGGGGGGGTATTCAGAGTTACTAGCCGCCCCCTACCTAAGAAATGTCAAACTTCAAAACATTATAGATAAAATTAAAAAAATAAGAAAAAATACAAAAAATTGTAATTCAACATTTTATTATTTTTCTCACAAAAAGAAAGTGTTTATATAACCATTCAATATATTTATAAGTAAACTATCTTGTAACCTTTTTAAAATCATTTAAATGATAAAATGAAACAGTTGTTTTGTTTTTAAAAAATGTAAATCTTATTTTTTATATATTTTTTGGTTGGACTAACCCCTAGAACAATGACCTGGATCCCCCCCTGCTGTGTGTAGCTTCTCATATTGTTATTTCTATTGAATTTTTATTCTATTCAGGCAAAAAGTTTCTGTGCAGAATTAATCTCCAAAGAAAATAGTTTTGCAATCATTAAAGAGAGTTTTTTATATGATTCTACTAAGGCAATTGTTTGTGATGCAATTGTAAATAATTATTCTAAACAATTATTATAAATAATTGTTCAAAGGGAATTAGTTTTGTAACTATCATTAAAGAGAGTTTTTCATATAATTCTCCAAAGGAAATTGCTTGTGATGCAATCATTTGTGATTATTCTAAATGAGTATGAGAAATGATTGTTCAAAAGAAATTGATTTCATAACAGTCATTACAGTTATTTAAATTTAATTAATTGTGCGATATCGCATCCATATTTTAATTTCTCATCTGGTATCGTTACTTTAATTAAACGCTGTATTTCGAAAGCGTGATGAGTCACACTTTTTTCAAAAGTGAGGTTATTTGAAAAAAAAAATTTTTTTTTCAGGAAAATATAAAATT